CAGGCCCTCTCCAGCTCCTCTCTGAGACCTTGGTATTTCTCAAGCTTTTCATGTTCTTTTTTCCGGATGTTACCATCGCTTGGAATTGCCACGTCCACCACCACGGCTGTCCTCTGCCCTTTGTCTACCACCACGATGTCAGGTTGGTTTGCCATTACCATTCGGTCGGTCTGTATCTGGAAGTCCCACAGGATCTTTGCACGCTCATTCTCCACCATCTTTGGAGGAGTTTCCCACTTAGACCTTGGGGTTTCCAGCCCATACTCTCCACAGATGTTTCTGTACACTATGCCAGCCACTTGGTTATGGCGTTCCATGTAGGCCTTCCCTGCCAGCATCTTGCACCCTGCAGTTATGTGTTGGATCGTCTCAGGTGCCTCTTTGCACAACCGACACCTTGGGTCTTGTCTGGTGTGGTATATCTGGGCCTCTATCGCTCTGGTGCTCAGTGCCTGTTCCTGTGCAGCCATGATGAGTGCCTCTGTGCTGTCCTGTAGGCCAGCCCTTTCTAGCCATTGGTAGGACTTCTTGAGATCAGCCACTTCTGTTATGCTCCGGTGGTACATGCCGTGTAGGGGCTTGTTCTCCCATGATGGGCTCTCCTCCAGCACCTCCTCATCTCGCCACTGCCTGAGACATTCACTGAGTACGTCATCCGTTTTGGCCTTCTCCATGATGTAGTTATGGAGTTTGGATGTTTCGTCCTGGACAGTGGCTCTCACACTCACTAGTCCTCGGCCTCCTTCTTTACGGCTTACGTACATATATATATATATGTACGTATATATTACGTATATATATATATTTTTTTCTTTTTTTTCCTAGTGTCTACCCACTGCAGCACTCATCTCTCTTGAACTTTAGAAGTAAATAAATAAATAATAAATGAATGAATGAATGAATGAATGACCTCTGGCACCTGCTGCGCACTTCCCAAGAGCCATACTGCCCGTGAGCCAGTTCCCACATAAGCGCGTTGCATCCTATCTCTGCTCTGCGGAGAACAGGGCAGTGGCTGAGGCAGTTTTGAGCCAGATCAGGTGAGTTTATGGGGCTTTACGCACAAAACTAAGGAAAACCCACATTGCTTTGCCAGAGGTGAATGAGGCAAAACATATGCGTAATTACGCAGCGCAGTATCTGCCACAGATTTACGGAGTTAGTGATTAAGTCATGTGTATTTGTATAGCGCATTAAACCTTCTACAGACCAGGATCACAAAGCGCTTCACGTTTATAAAACATACAGATGAAAACACATACAAGTCAGATTTAAAAACGAAGAAACAGAAGAGGGTCCTAAAAAACCCCGGGCGGCACGGTGGCTGAGTGGATAGCACTCTCGCCTCTCAGCAAGAGGTCCTGGGTTCAAATCCCGGTTGGACCAGGGCCTTTCTGAGTGGAGTTTGCATGTTCTGCCCGTGTCTGCGTAGGTTTCCTCCGGGTGCTCCGGTTTCCCCTACCGCTAAAAATATGTACAATAGGTCTGGCATGTGCCTCCTGTACTGGCACCCCCACTCCCAAAAATAACAATTGTAAACCGCTTTGAGACTCCGATGTGCAGTGAAAAGGCGGTATATAAATAAAGATTACTTACTAATTACTTACCTAATGCTTGCGTGTTCCAATTAGACTTTTTCTGATGCACAAATTCAAATGAAAACGCAGTTTATAATTTTGCCAGAGTGGGAATATGTTTATTCATTCATTTTCATCCCTTTATTATCCATTTCTGGGTCAGGGGGGTGGCAACCAGCTGCCACCCAATTCACAAAGCACCAGTCCCTCGCTGATCCTCCTGCAGGTGGTGGGTCCCAGGTAGATGGCTGCTCCTTCAACACAGATACGGCCTTGATCTTTCAGCGGGGACTTCAGGCAAAGTGGGGTTAAGTGTCTTGCCCAGGGACACAACGTCAGCAGACATCAGTGGGAGCAGATTACATGGGTCACAACCACTAGGTCCAAAGACCAACGCTCTACCAACTGAGCTACTGTCAGAATATGTTTATTGTTGTCCAAATCTTGGATTTCATGCGTGTTTTGGCGTGTTGTGATGAAGGTTGACATTAGCGTACACATTTACACCACCTACTGAATCGGCGTATATTTTGTGCGTACCGTACGCTCATGTCCAGATTGATAAATGCCAAAAAGTGTACATTTTTTGCGTATGCCTCATTTACACTCTGATTTGGCCGTACGCAAGTCTCATAAATGAGGGCCAATGTCTTTCATTCATATATGATACATTATGATAACAATTATGATCAGACAGACAGACGGACAGACGGACGGACAGACAGATGGATGGACAGACAAGAAAGACAGACGGGCGGACACAGACAGACAAGACAGACAAATATGCCGTCAAAAATACATAACAGAAGACATAAGATCTGGGGGAAGTGCCTATTTTAAGTCTCTCGGTTTTCTCCAGTGCCAAAGTCGCATCAAAATCCACAAAGTTAGCAGTTTGATTCCATCTTCTGGGCATTTAGATCAAACCATGTCTGTGCCTCTGTGTCCTTATCTTCTTATACTCACCCTTAGTGTGAAGTTTACAGTAATATCTGTGTTCTTTTTGACCCCCCTCTCTGCCCCTGGACCGGGTGTTTGGAGATGTGCCTCTCTTTCATGGTCAGCTGTTACATGCAGCGGTCTAGGGGTCCAGACCTTTGCCAAACGCTCAGATTCTCCCTATGGCACTGCTCTCAGATCAAACACACCACACGCTGTCTGTCCAATTTACTTTTTGTCAAAGCTTTCCCACAGAGAGGTCAGTTGTATGTGTGGCAAAAACTATCCGGCTACCGTAGCTTGGATTACGTTGTATATTATTATTATTCACCTTCTGCTTCCATCTGCTTTAACAACATGACTGACAGAACCGGTGGCTGTGGTTGTCATGGCACCAGAGCACTAATAAGGCGGTCTACAGAAGAAAAGAAAAAATAACCAGTCCACATGAGTTTAAAGAAATGAAGCTGCATTTATCTGGTGAACACCGCAGTGGTTTGTTTTATGTAACTGGAGCAACACAGAAAAAAATTCTAAAATGCCTTGAATAAATATAGAGCATTTCAAGATACTCAATTTGATTTCCATTACATACAGTATATTCACTCATTTATAATTGTGGTGGTGATAAAATCCTCCTCACGCTCCTGTGGTCAGAAGATTGAATACAGCAAGGCAAATTGAGATTTGAAAAACAAGGATTAAGGAATAAATACATTAAAGAATAATCTATTAGGTTCCTAAGTGCTGACATTAACCTCAGTAGAGACAAGAAGGTGATGCCTCCAGGCCAAGTTACAGTCCAGCTCTGTGGAGAGGTGATCCAGCTGAAGAAAGCATGTTTCTGAGCAGGAAAAGCTCATGTAGGGTAATGAATGAATGTATTATAGATACATGTACATTTCCACTGATGAACATCCCTGACAGATGAGCCAGCCCCAGACCTAACATGATGCTCTGTCTTTGATGGACTGAAATCATCTGGATTATGCTCGTCTTTACACGACAACAGGAGCCATGACATTCCAAACGCCTGTCAGCATTGATCACAGATGATGCACTGTGGGAGAAATCCCCTGTTCTGGTGTAAGAATGTACAATGTTCTGTTACTAACATACTACAGCCACATGTTCAGCGCTCCACTGAGGAAAAACAAACTGTTTGATGACATAATCCACTATTGTATGTGGCATGTGAATGAAAATACAGATTTCAAACATCAATTTTTCAGAGGTCTGTGAATTGCCCTGCAGATATGTGCTGCATTATTGAGAGCGAGCAGCTTGAAGCATGTCACCCATGACTATCACTGACAGCCCCAAATAGCCCAAAGAGCCTCAAGAGTCCATAGAAACCCAGACATGTTTCATCTACCTCCAAAAACTTTGAGAGATGCAACAGATTCAAAAGGTTATTTTTCACGGTACAAGGTGGTGGTCTTTAAAATAGCATTATCAATCTTGATCTAAGAGATCAGTGGTTGAGCTGTGTTTGATTCCACCACTCTATAATTGCAGCTTTTATTACAAAGGCTTATTTACTGGAGTGGAAAAGACATTTCTCTTGCAGAAATTACTCCACTAACTTCTTTGTAGTCATGCAAATGTTGTGGTTAATTTGACTTGCTCACTGCTTTGTTTTGAAAGCTCATAAAATAAACACTTTATGTATAATGAATCAAAGCACCCGATTTCATCTAAAGAGAATAACTCAGCCGTATTCTATCAAACAATAAGTGCTTAGTCTAGTTTAGGGATTTCTTTAGTCGACATTTATGCGGTTAGTTTGCCCCCTAGTGTTCAGAGTTGCATTTCACAATAACGCTCCTTTTAAATTTTCACACGACAAACCATAGTCCTGTAAATATAGTATGACATAGTAATTCATATAGAAATGGTATGAGGTAGTAAGTATAGATAAAAATTAAAACATTCTTGTTTCTTGTGTTTTGTCAAAAAGCCAGACTTTAAACAATCTACTTATCTGATAATACATACCCTCATTTCAAGTTTTACCAAATTGGAAATAAGGTTGTTAGAAATCAAGACGGTTCTGAAACGAAGAGAACTAGGATAGGAAAACACATTGTCAACACTTGCAACGTCTGATTTATTCTGAAACTACTCTTTAAGCAGGACAACCAAATACTGTACCATAGATTGGTTTATTTCAACAGTAAAATCACAGTCAACTTACATTGTAAGTTCAAATTGTTTGAGGAATGTAATCAATATGAAATCGGCAGCTGGTTGTTTCCAGCGAGTACAGATTGTGACATCAGACAGAGGATTGTGGATTGACAGGGTCAGTTTGAAGAATATGAAGAGGCTTCAGACGATGATCTGGAAATGGACCGCGGCCTCCACACTAGGCTCCTGTGTGTCAACATGACCTCTCACACAAATGTCTGTTTCATCTTGTCCACTGGAGAAGGTTTTAATGACGGGACATTGATGTGTGCTGGACTTCACAGGGCGGACAGGTCAGCGGTCCAAAGAGCGTTTCTGAATGGCTTCAGCCACCACCGAGCGCAGGTGAGCAATGACTGAGCGAGGGTCATCACTGCCTATCACCGCACTGCCTGACACAATCATGTTTGCTCCAGCCTGAGGTAGACAAAAACATCCAATAAACCAGCAAGTCAATGATAAGCTTTGGAAAGAGAGCAAACTTACCTCAGCACAACAGTGAATGGTGTCTGGTCCAACACCGCCGTCCACTTCAATGTCTAGTGACGGGAACTGGTTTCTAAGCCACATCACCTGTTTTTAGAAAGCAGAAATGTATTATCTCTTTTTGTCTGATAACACAATGACATACACTGTACTAATCATTTTAGTTTCTTCACTAAGTTTCCAAATATCCTCTTCCTTATTTCGCAAATCAAGTTACACTGTCCTCGAATCCACACAACATGAGGGATTATGCATAGTTGTGTTTGTTAGTTAGTATGCGCCATAAACCAAAAAAAACGGGACATAACCTCCACAATGACAAAATGATGATGACATTTTGGGAGTGATTATGGTAAGCTGCTGAAAACTAAAAAGGTAGAACTTTACCTTGGGCATCATGTCTTCCATAAACTTCTGCCCTCCAAACCCTGGTTCCACCGTCATAACTAAAGCCATGTCAATCTGGTTAGCCCAAGGTGCAAGCTCTTCAACTGTTGTACCAGGTTTAATAGCCAAACCCACCTAAAACAAAAGTGTATGTTTGTAAAGGTACTATATATATATGGACAAAGCTGCGTGTGGTTTCTCACCTTCATGCCACTCTCCTTTATGTCCTTGATGAGGGCTGCAGGGTTGGTCGAAGCCTCTATGTGGAATGTGTACTGGTTAGCTCCTGCTGCTGCCATTGGCTTGACCCACTGCTCTGGCCGGGACACCATCATGTGCATGTCTGCATTCACAAACAGTAACAGAGGACTGCTAATAGACGGCAGATGCACCAGTTCAATTAGAGGCGCTGCGGACTGTAGGAATAAAAGTTCATAAAGTTCTTCTTCACCCACCAAAGAAAGGCTCTTGTCCCAAAGTCTTTCTGAGGCACTCAACCATAGGATGACCAAATGTGAGGTTAGGTACAAAATGCCTGTAAACCAAAACACAAAATAATATAAAGGAAAGCCTGGTGGAAATGCACAGATTAATTAGCACCACAAATAGGGTGACCAAAAATCCCTAACATAACATGCAAAAAAAGTTGTATCTGTAACATTAATGTTATTAGTACCATCATTTAACTTGACTCACAGTAGTATGATTTTATTATGCTACTGAATCATAAATTGTTTTTTTTTTATTTCTTATCTGTAGTCTGACTATTTTATCTTCCCAGGACACAAGACAGTCCTCGTTAGGCGGCCTAATCCAAAACCATTGATTTGTCAGTTTTGTTCAGGGCATGCCCCAGTTGTCCAAATATTAGATCAATTTGACATGCATCAGCAGAGGATGTATAATCCAATATATATTGTGTAGTTCAACACGCACATTTTTATTTGAAATTGATAGACTGACTTCATAATTCTTCGTGCATGGTAGTTGATGTAAGGAGTAACTTAGGGAGAGCTAGCTTAGCCTCTCAAAGCTAGCAGGCTTAACTTCTGAGCTCGGAGTTAGCATGCTAATAATAATGTAAACAAACCCGTCCATGACATCCAGGTGCAAGTAGTCTGCCCCACACTCCATCATCCTCACGCACTCACTGCCCAGACAGGACAGGTCACTGCTGAGAATGGACGGCCCGATCCTTGCACTGTAAGCCATGCTGAAGCTGCCGTAGTGTCTGCATGCAGCCCGCACCAGGCTAAAAGCAACATTATTCAACAACATGACAAGCGCCACGAGACGGAAACCACTGCATCCGCCTCGGACTTTCAAAACAAGAGTAGTCTTGCACTATCCCTAGCTCTTTAATACTGACATGCTTTAGTATTTGAGGTAAACACATAAATATTATTTTTTCGAAATATTGTTGCTGCTCATATTTCATAATGGCCATTATTTAAAACCGTAGATTACTCTGGAGTAATTTATTGAACTTCCGGGTTTCAGTGCGTTACAAAAGTAACTTCATTTAAAAATATTATTATTATTATTGGTATTTGTAAAATATTCAAACCACTGTACAATGGTTGTAATTTACACAAGACAGAGCTATAGGGTTTACACATTTTAGTTATTTATTTTTGATGATTACAGACTCATATGCAGGCACAGGATCCATATAAATCTTTTACATGTACAAATAAAGAAATAGAATTTAGATTTCCAATCAGGAACTGTCATGCAACTGTCATGAAATGAATGTCTTTTTTCATTTATGGCCTTCATAGATTTGGAATTAAGTTACTTTTATCTTCCACTTCAGTCTTCCTGAAAATGTGAGACAGGCTTCTGCTCTGACAATGTTAAAATCCAGATTAAACCAGTTCTGTTAAGACATTTTTACGTCACTGTATTATTCGTTATTTTGAGTCCCCTTGTGTGTGAAACAAATAAACTTACCTTGCTTCCATTCATGGACTTTTCATCTTGTGTCAATTCCCATTTTCAACGCTAGGCGGCGATGTTCACAAACCTGAAGACTTTCTCTGTGTTCATCGTATCTCAGAGCTCATTGAGTTGAGGTATTCCTGAGGTCATTTATTCCATAAATAAAAGATAAGGACACGTTTTCTAAAGCTGCAATCAAAGCACTTCTTTCACTTTCCTCAATCCTAAAAAAAAATACAGGCTTATATACAAGAGCCCTATTTTGTGTGATTCACTTGAGATAATTACTTCCCCATTGCGGGGCCATTGAAGATAATCTTATTTTATATCCACACATCTCATTTACCAAAAAAGGACTTACAATGGGGTAAAAAAAAAAAAAAAGGAGTGTCTCTTTAAGTAAAGGGCCACTTTTGTTCAACAGAATGGTCCAGAGGCCAACCAAATGTTTTGGGTGAATTTGAAAGGTTTTGAGTTTACAAAAAAGTATAGCATGACTATCTTGGTGCAGCTGAAGTTGGCTGGATGACACTGTGGAAGTACCTAAATGGCTACTTTGTGTGAGCAAGGCAGAGGACCACTGGAAATGACACAGTGGGCCAAAATTTGTCAGCAGTTTTCAAATTATATTTTGGCTTTTGTCACACATAGAGATCAGTGATGTCAGCCATAAAAAGGCAAAAAGAAATTTGGACCATCCTTACTCAGCCAATCAGCCCAAAATGTCAAAGTGACTCACAGGGCTCTTTATGCAAAAGAAAATATTTGATCTAATATGTTTTCTAATAAGATTAAGATAGTTCATGGTCTGATTTGTTCACAAAAAAGTAATATTTAAGAAAAAAGTTATGTAGGTTTAGTTTCAGTTAGGTTCCCCAGTGAAAAAAAATAGCTTCAGAGCATTCCCACAAATAATGACAGAGTTGGGAAATTGCTTTTGACTTTGCACCAAGATGTGAAAATGACTGACATACTTTGGAGTGTGCTCAGAAAAGGCTTGGATTCTTTCCTCTTAAACCATTCTTAAATACAGACATATTCAACCAGAACATGGCATTTACCTGTAAATGTAAATTACAATACAACATGCTACTATTTAAATACCATTTGTTCAACATTATTTGTGCTTTTCCCATTTACTTCTTGCACAATTAGCCTTTGCAGCCATGATTCATTTATGTTTTTGTGGACAATATTAATGATTTATGGCCTTTAAGGAGTGAATAGTAGCACGTATAGTTGATGCAGTATGACAGCCAGTTAAAAACACACCATCTATTAGAGAGATAGTTTATTTCCCTGCAGGTATATATAGGATGGCACATTACTCCTTCCACTGTAAACAGGCTGCCCAGCGTGTGCTCGGAGTCACTCAGTCATGTATGCTTCTGTTTACGGGAGCCCCCCATTGCACACACCTCCACTGCTCCGAGTCCAGGAATGTGACTTTTTCAAGAATTTAGAATAGTGAGGTTGGTGCAGCTGTTACAGGGACACAAGTGTACTTTTAGGCCTGTCTTTTCACTGTCCTGCTTAAACTAGGCCAAAACCTCTCCCACGGTTAATTTCTCAGTTGTTGTGTTTTTAAGGACGTGTAGGCTTTTATTTTATTTATTTTTTTACTTTAGTCTTAACTTTGTCATTTCATCTTTTGTTTTAGTTGGAGATATTTCATGTTGTGAATGTTGAAAGAAAAGTTGTAAGAATGTGCTGTCCATAATTGTCAAGATACTTTTACTCAATTTGTGAACAACCCATAAGAGAATTGTACAGTATTACAGATTTTCCTGTAGTTTAGACTTAGGTCAGACTCAACAACTGTCGTGCTTAAACAAGGTCAAAACCTCTCTCTCAATTAATTTATCAGTTTTCAGGGACCTGTATGCTTCTTTTAGTCACAATTATTTTAGTTTACCCCGTGGTTCAGCTTTTGTTTTAGGTTGCTTAAGTTCTATGGATGTTTATTTCAACATCCATGAGTTATAGGATGTGGTGTCCATAGGATCGATTCTCAAGATTCTTTTACTGAGAATTGTTTTACCGCTTTATCTAAACTTAGACTTTAGTGCCAAAATAACCTGCCTGTGTTATAGCATGATCGTAAACTTTAAAAAGATCTAAAAGGATTTAATGACTGTACTTTCTGAAAGCTTGATCAACATGCGCTGAGAACTTGTGTATATTCTCTGAGTCGCTCATGTGTAAAATGTATTGAGAGTGATCCTAATGAGCTCGCAGGCCGGCTATTTCTCGTTACATGCATTCCTGCATCTCAGTCATCTGTGAAGACAATTAAAAATGGATTTTGGCCATTGGTGTGAATGTGCTGATTGAACTCTAATGAATCCCATTCCCTCTCAGGTAAATTGGTGTTTATTTTCATCTGCTGGGAACAGATTGGATCACTATCTTAAACTGTAGTCATAATTTTCAGGTTAAATCAAGAATGGAAATGATCAAATTAGGGAAATAAAAAAATACACATGTTTCTCTTGACACTACTCCTCTATCTATAATGCAAGGAATCTCTGTCTGGACCATATCTCGCTGATGGACTGTACAATAGACCTGAGCTTTTGTACAGTACATGGCTTGGAATCAGCTCCAGGATGTGCATCCTTTAGTTTTGACTAATTTATGCCCCCCTCTCCATATGTGTTGGAAACACAACTGCTTTACTACTTTTATTCATTTTGAATGGCACTGCACTAGTGTGGTCGGTCTGTCTGTCTGCCTGTCTGTCTTTCTGTCTGTCTGCCTGTCTTTCAGTCTGTCTGTCTGTGGCTCGCATACTGTATGTAACTGTTGGTAAGATCCACCTCAGGCGTTTGTGAGGTGACAACAGACCGTCATGTGCACGGAGCTCATAAAAGTCTCTGCTCGGGTACAATCTGTGTTCATTCGCACACAGACGCCTGTAAAACACATCTGTGAGCTGTGGCTGCTGCAGGTTCATTGTATTCATGGAAATCTCACCTTTTTGTTGCTCAAAACATACTTCCTACACTGCACTAGTCTACACTAACATGTATGTGCTCTTCTTGAAATGGAAGCATTATGACCTGACTCTTACAGACAGATAGAGATCAAGGACATAACATTAATAGAATGAACAAGTGAGAGAATAAAAGTTAACAACTGTGTTTGTGTCTTTAACCGTCAATGGAAAGTGATGTGTTACATGACATTCCATTGCATTATTTCCTGTCACTAATATCCTGGAAACCTGTGATTTCTCTGTCATTTCTGCTCTCCAGGGGAAATATTTATTGTACACTGAAGAATTCTACACTGTGCTTTAAGTGCTCCTCAAGATGTGTACATGTACTATTGTAACCTTAAACAGGGTGTGTTTACTCGACTTGTGACCTTCAAACTGAAATGCAGGAACTCTGTTGACATTAAGTGGTGTGTTTAATTTTCCTGCGTCGTGATTATGATTAAAATAGATGGCTGCGCTCCAAGTGTTTGATGCATTGTCTTGTCGTCACTTCCTCTAAGGAGTTGACTCTGGCCTCCTGTCCAAACAAATCATGATTGAAAACTTCTTGATGCGGTGAGGAAGACTGTGAGGAAGACTGCGGCACGAGAGTCCGAGGTGAGACTCCCTTCCTTTGCTTTATGTGCCGCTGGTGTGGGTCCCGATCAAACGGAAGGGCGCTGTCTCCTCCAACGTATGGTAAAAGTCTCCAATCAAGTGTTCTTTCCTGTCCTGGTTCATAGGGAGCAGGGTGCGTGAGTCCATACAGTGGCACGCACGACAGGAAGACTTCCATCATGTTTGGGATGTGACAAAAATAAAACCAATGCATAATGTGAAACTTGTATGCTTATTGTAACTTGTAAGAAAGTACAGTATATACCTGAATCTCATCGCCTTGTTGTTTGTTATGCATTTTTATCTGTGTTTAAAAATGTCTCTTGTGAAGCACTTTGAATTGCCTTGTGCTCAAATGGTTGCTAAAGAAATAAATGATTGATTGACTGATTGATTGAAACTTAAATTTATAACAAAACTGGTAAAGTGTGTCAGTTGACTCCTATAATCTATAGAAAGTCCTTTACTACTACTATTTAAAACAATTACTCATGATAAATCCTCTTTCACTAAAACTGTCATCTGCTCATCAACACAATAATACAGATAATACAATACAAGTAACTAGTTCCATGAGTAAAAGTCAATATATAAATAATGTATTTAATTTCATTTCCACGGTTACCCCCTCCCATACTAAATATTATTAATTGTGTTGTTATTATTATTGCTA